CATGGGAGGCTCCTGTTCGACAAGTAGCACTCCTCTACAGTGCATGAACAATGTTAAAGTTGAATTTACTAATGAGTATGGAGTAAAGCTTTGTCCTAGAAAACTCTGTACCCGTTGTGAATTAGAGAGGCCTACATTTGGGTAAAGGTGGCCTGACACGGGAACTTATGACCCTAAGACAGACCAAGCAGTGTGGAATGTAGTAAGAGGGAAACCTGGCCACCCTGATCAATTCCCCTATATTGATGTATTTAGCTATAGGATCTCCACAGTAGTTAAGAAAGTGTGCCAAGCAGGCAGGTCTCCAGGTTATGTATCAAATTCCCTCTCAGGGCCTTTGTTAAGGGTAGTGCACCAGCTAGTGCATGACACCCAGGAGCCAGTCCCCAAGGCTGTTGACCTTGTACTTCCTGGAGTGTGACCTTGCCTCACCTTATGTTAAACCCTTGCAGGGAGCGAGCGCCCATGAAGTCTCTTAGAATCAAAAGACCAACCTGTCTCCTCTCCAAGCCCCTAGTGGGGCCCCTCACCATGTACCCTGGAAAGTGTCCAGAGCATGGATGTCCTCTGAGCTATTTCGGTCCCATCTGGGTCTGTCCTGGGGAAATATCCTCCAGTTGGTCCCAATTTTCCTCGATGGTCACGCCGTGCCCCCCTCCTCCCACCCAGGGGCCTATAATGGCCTTCTGGGATCCTGATAAATATGACTTCCTTCTTACTCTGTAAGAGGATGATAAGTAATTCGTGACAATCATCCCAAGCGGGGCAGTGAGTTTGGAACGCACACTCTAGGAGATTAATTAGAACCTGAAGTTTATTTTAAAATGGCAGATGTTTTGTTTTTTTTTCTTTTTCCAATTGTATAAATTGTTAGTTAAAAAGGGACATAAACTAAAAAGGGCCAGTCTTTTGGGCCTCCTGTCCTGGCCGGTGGCTTCACAGGAATCCCCAGCTGCATCTTTAGAAAGGCTCCAGGAGGCTTACCATGCTTACACGCCTATTGAACCTGAGGCCCCTGAAAACAAGATATGCATTTGGCCTTTGTTACTCAATATGTACCAGATACCAAGAGAAAACCAAAAGTTATATAGGTTTCACGGAATGAAATTTTCCCAGTTACTAGAAATAGCTCAAAAGGTCTTTGATAACAGAGATGACCCAAAGAGTAAAACCGAAGCAAAGGAAGTTGTAACAGTCTTACAAGAGACAGGAGCCTATGGTGGCCGACACCCAGCTCATAGAGGAGAAAAGCCCCACCTTGGAAAACCAAGGCTGCCCTTAAACAAAAATCAGTGTTCCTAATGTAAAAAAGGACATTGGAAAAAGGCATGCCCTGGAAAAAACAAAGAAGGTCCCCTCCTGCTCGCAGGTCCTGCATTTAGCTTAGAAGAAGACTGAAGGGGTCAGGGGAAATAGAGGAAAGAGCTGCGATGCAAAGGGCAATTTATAGAGGTCTGGATAAAGACATGTACATATGCAAATATATTTATATGAGGATGGGGAAATAGATCTATGTGCCTTGTATTTATAGGTTTAATATTTAGAATACTTTCTTCTATTAAATTGACATTCTATGATGCTCACCTTCCCGACATAACAGCTGAAGACAAATGGGTGCATAAGCAAATGTGGCGAAGAAAGTTGATGGTGCCCGGCTATCAAAAGATATAGCGTCTGGGGTCTTAAAAGCTTGAAGGTAAACAAGCGGCCATCTAGCTCAGAAGCAACAAAGCCCACATGGAAGAACACATCAGCCTGTGTGATCACGAGGTGTCGAAGGGATCAGGTATAAGGCATCATCAGAACAAAAAATCTTACCATACTGAATGATGGGGGAAGTGCGGACTGGAGAACCAAAGCCCATTAGTCGGCCACTGGAGATCCCCTTGCAGAGGGGTCTCGGGGAGGAGAAAAGCCAGTCAGGGTGCGATGTAGCAACGATGAAAAAGACAACTTTCCTCTAGTTCCTAAATGTTTCCTCCCCGCTCCCACTATCATGATATGAATTCTACCTTGCAAGTCTGACTAGACCAGAGGATGTACACTGGTACAGGTAAGAATTGTAAATACAGGGACCCCAGGGCGGATGATCCCTACAGGACCAGTGGTGTGAGTGACGATACTAGGAGGGTAGAGGGAGAGTGGGTTGGAAAGAGGGAACCGGTTACAAGGAACTATATGTGACCTCCTCCCTGGGGGTCAGACAACAGAAAAGTGGGTGAAGGGACACATCAGAAAGGGCAAGATATGACAAAATAATGATTTATAAATTATCACGGGCTCATGAGGGAGGGGCGACCGGGAATGGAGGGGAAAAATAAAGACCTGGGGCCTGGGGATTAAGTGGAGAGGAAGTGTTTTCAGAATGATGAGGACAGTGAATGTACAAATGCGCTTTACACAATTGATGTGTGTATGGATTGTGATAAGAGTTGTATGAGCTCCTAATAAAATTATTTTTTTTAAAAACTTAGCCCCTAGGAGCCGAAGCTCACCTTACAAGTAGGGGCAAATCTGTCAGTTTTGAGTGGACACAAGCGGTACAAAATCTTAACAAAACCACTGGTGCCAAGGTTTAATGACAAGATTATCATCCAAGGGGCTACAGAAAATCTTCTACCTGTACCTGGAGTCCCAAGAGTTCAGTCAGCCTGGGGAACAGGAGTCACTCGGCCCTTTAGAATCCTCTCTGAGCATCCCTCAACCCTCCCACTTGCCAAACGGGCTGTGGTTTTTGTCCTTATAAAGCCCACCTGATTATCATTTTGGGCCTCCGGGAATTTCTGACAGATTTGATCCTCCCATTGGTCACTGGCTGGAATAAAGAAAGACTCACAATTTGGACATAAATGGCATTATAGTGGTTATTAATTTCTCATGACACGTAACATTACATCCAAAATATGCAAGACTAAGACTACTCTTGCCACCCTTTCCTTTCAGGAGCACTCTGGTCTTATTTCTTCCAAGAGAGATGTTTGTTGGCCACGACCCATAGTGACACTAGACACCACAGTACAACCCTATTGCAGGGCATACATAGACTATCAAGGATCACGGAGGAGGCACTTTCAGCAAAGACAAGGTAGACGGTTTTGACATGCTGAACTTACATCACTTATTCACATCAAAAGACTTCATCAGGAGAGTGAAACGAGAGCACACAGCTTAGGAAACAGTTTTTACCAATGACACATCGGACAAATTGCTCATTACAAAAATATACAGAACTCTACAACATCTCAAGAAAAAATTAACAGGAGTGCCAATCAAGAAATGGGAAAACACAGTTCACCAAAAGAAGTACAGATGATTAACAAATATATGAAAAAATGCTCACGATCATTAGCCTTCAGGGAGATGCAAATTTAAATGAGACGACTTTAGACCCATAATGCCAGCCCAAATCAAAGAAACAGAAAACAACAAATGCTGGAGAGGATATAGAAGGATTGGAATTCATATATACTGCTGGTGGATTTCTAAATGCTTACAGCCACTGTGGGAAATGACATGACAATACTTAAAAGTAACCAGAAATTGAGATCCCATGATACAGCAATGCCACTATTAGGTATCATGGATTTCATACGCAGGGAAATACATTTTAAAAAACAATAAAAATTTGAAACAGAGATAAAGCTCAGTCGAAAAGAAGAGAGATATTAAAAACAATAGATTTGAAATGGGTCAGAAAGGAGCTCAAAGGATGAAGGGTTATATCTTAAGCGAACTGCATCTGCAACGATCCACTTTCCCAGACATTCTGCATGATTGCAAGGCCATTCACATTCCTGATCTGTGGTCAGAGTATTTCTCCTTCACTTTTTTAAAGACTGAAAATACCTACCATGGGTCAAAAGGGGCACCAAACGTAATTTCAGATTGGTCTATTAGTCCCGGTAGACTAGAGAAGCAGACCCAGACACTCATATGTATATAGGAAAGTGGTTTATATACAAGAGCAATTGAATATCAAGAAAACCACCCAACCCGGTCCACATCAAGTCCTGAGGCCCAATAGTAGCCCATATGTCTGATACCAACCTATAGTCCTCTTCAGACTCACGAGACACATGTATTGATGCCAGATGCAGGACGATCACAGGCCAGTGGGTAGTTGAGTAGTCTTTGGATCCAGTGGCGTTGTAAGCATCTCAGAGGTGGCAGGGGTCTCCACATGGCCTCTCCAGTTCCCAGGGCAGCATCAGAGTAGGTCCATGTGGTTTCTCCTCAGGAATGTCTCACAGGGAGTCAGCCTTGTCAGTAGGGAGTGTTTCTCCTGCCTCCAAGGAGGAAATGCCAGAGTTCCCAGAATTCTCAGGAGAAGCCCATGGCCACACAGAGGCCTCATTGGTTTATCTTGACAGCCCACTCCACCCCTTCACTCATAGTCCTCTCAAAATGACATCAGATTATGTCTTTATATCAACGTATATACACACCCAGGATGAGTCTGTCAGGCTTTCCCAGTCTCTGTATTCATAGCATTTCCCACAGGACCCAAACTATAGTCAGACAATGAGGCAGACAGTTTGTTCAGCCCTTCTATTGAGTGCATCACAGCTTATCCTATGGGCTTTGTGGAACAGAAAATAAAATGTACTTGGAGAGTGGAGCACTGCCAGAGTCACTAAGTTCACCTGCACTGCCACATTCACTGTATTCATATGGTTTCTCCTTTCTGGCTACAGGCCGCCCCACCAGAACTACATCAGTTAGGATCCCACTGGTGTTTACTGACACGTGAGAGAAGCCACAGAAGGCATTTGCAAAGTCACTGTATTGCTAGGGCTTCCCTTCTACAGGAGATCACTGGTATGTGGTGACATACGACTCCCTGTGGAAAGTTTTCCCACTTGACTGAATTAAAGTTTTTTCATTCTTGTGTATTTCCTTATGTCAAGAAAACTTAGAACACGGGTAAAAGCTTTCCCACACTCATTACAGCTACATGGTAACTGTCCTACATGAAATGATTAACGAGACATGAGCTCTTCGATGGTTTTGAAATTTTTATGATTTGAAATTTTTAAATGGGTTTTCCATTCAGCAAGTCATACATTGGCTGCAGTCCCCAAGAGTGCAGACCCGCACTCTTCCCACTTCCGCCCCCCGGTCTTATCGTTATTATCCATCCTGCTTTTCTGTCCTTCCTGCTTTCAGGTTTTATCCACAGACAAGTGCTGTCCTCTGATTTTGTACGGCTGATTGTTCTAAGGCGTGTACACCTCTCGGGTGTTGTTCTTCCCCTCCAAGCCTGCATAGTTTTTGGCTGAAAACGGACTCAGATGAGAGTATAGTTCAAAGATTGAAGAGTCGCTAAGGGCCGTAGTCTTAGGATTCCAAGTCTCCACCAGATCAGTAAGCCAAGTCTGTTTTATGATTGTGGGGTTTATTCCACTTTGTTCTCCCACTCAGCTCAGGACCCTCTTTGGTGATCCTTTTCAGAGTAATTAGCAGTGGAAGCCGGGCACCGTCTCGTTCTTCTGGGCACAGGGTTGTGGAAGCTGAGGTTTGCGGTGGTCCTTTTGTCCTCTGGACTACTTGTTCCCATATGTTCTTCTATTTTCTTCACTCTTATTTCATGGTACTTTCATGCTATCTCCGGCGGGTAACAAAGAGCATGCAGGTGGGGTGGGCACTACAGGCGTCTGGGTAGAGATTCTACTGCTTGGCATAGCTGTGATCTGGAAACACCAGATCCAGATCTCTTTCAGGCACTGAAAGCTGGAAGACCAATGAGGTGCCCATGTGCCCTGCGGAAAACTGGATGTCCCTCTCCCCATACCAGTGGGCTAAATGAGTAGAGGGACAGCAATTCAGAGCACGGGTAGCCACATGGTAAGTCACAATTATCTGGTCCAGCACTCGGCTGGGGCCACACCCTAGCACCTTTGTTTGACCAAACCCTCTTCGTTTTGAAAGCTTTATTACACCCACCCCATTGAAAGGTTTTCTCGTTAAGAGTTTTCCCATGTTGAATGATACTTGACTTTCACATATAAGATTTTCCACATTTAATTCATGCCCAGGGCTTCTTTCCTGTGTGAAATCTCTGATGTGCTGTAAGGCATCGCTTCTGGCTGAAAGGTTTATCACACACAGCATATATATAAGGTTTATCTCCAAGATGAGCATATAGATGAGTTTTGAGATGTGCCCTCTAAATGAAGCCTTTGCCGCACTCACCACATACATGGGGTTTCTCTCCAGTATGAGTTCGCAGACAGACCGTGAGCTCATAGTTCCTGGTAAAGGCCTTTTCCAAATTCACCATATCCATGGGATTTCTCTCCAGTATGAGTTCGCTGATGAACAGTGAGGTCCTTCTTCCAGGTAAAGGCTTTTCCACATTCACCACATACATGGGGTTTCTCTCCAGTATGAGTTCGCTGATGAACAGTGAGAACATTCTTCCAGATGAAGGCTTTTCCACATTCACCACACACATGGGGTTTCTTTCCTGTGTGAGATATCTGATGTTCTGTAAGGCATCGCTTTTGCCGGAAAGCTTTGCCACACTCACCACATACATAAGGTTTTTCTCCAGTATGAGTTCGTAGATGAATTTTGAGATGTGCTGTCTGAATGAAGCCTTTGCCACATTCACCACATATATAGGGTCTCTCCCCAGTATGAGTTCGCCGATGAACAGTGAGGTCCTTCTTCCCGATGAAGGCTTTTCCACACTCACCACATACGTGGGGTTTCTCTCCAGTATGAGTTCGCTGATGAACAGTGAGGTCCTTCTTCCTGATAAAAGCTTTTCCACATTGACCACATACGTGTGGTTTCTCCCCAGTATGAGTTCGCTGATGAACAGTGAGGTCTTTCTTCCAGAGAAAGGATTTCCCACATTCCCCACAAACGTGGGATTTCTCTCCAGTATGAGTTCGCTGATGAACAGTGAGCTCACTCTCCCAGGTAAAGGCTTTTCCACACTCACCACAGACGTAAGGTTTCTCCCCAGTATGAGTTCGCTGATGAACAGTGAGGCCCTTCTTCCTGACAAAGGTTTTGCCACATTCACTACATACATGTGGTTTCTCTCCAGTATGAGTTCGCTGATGAATAATAAGCTGATTCTTCCAGATAAAGGTTTTCCCACATTCACCACATACATGGGGTTTCTCTCCAGTATGAATTCGCTGATGAGCAGTGAGATGTGCTGTCTGAATGAAGCCTTTGCCACATTCACCACACACATAGGGTTTCTCTCCAGTATGAGTTCGCTGATGAACAGTGAGAACATTCTTCCTGATGAAGGCTTTTCCACATTCACCACACACATGGGGTTTCTCTCCCGTATGAGTTCGCTGATGAACAGTGAGCTCACTGTTACTGGTGAATGCTTTCCCACATGCACTGCATACATAGGACGTCCTAGAAACATGAGTTTTCTGATGTTCCTTGAGGTATGATTTACTGTGATAAGCTTTCCCATATTCCAAGCATGTATATGGTTTTTGTCCTTTATGAGCTGTTTGATAATGTGCAGTGAGTTTGAATACTCTGTCGAATTCTTGCCCACACTGACTGCATGTATACGTCTTATCTAGAACATGAATGGACTGATGATCACCGATGAAGGATTCCTTGACGAAGGTATTCCCACATTTATCACCTAGGTGCGGTTCCTCACTTTTGTCAGATTTCTGATGCCGAATGCATTGTGACGTCATGTTACTGGATTTATCACACTCAGGGAATTTCATTGCAGTACAAAATTGCTCTTGTTCAATGTTGAAAACAGTTTTCTCATCTCCACTGAGCACAACTGACTGTATTTTGCTGTTACTGTGCTGATTTAATGCCAGCATGATGAAATCTGATTTTACAATGTTTTCATGTAAGCCAAATACCTCATAATTTTCCTTTAGAGGAAAATTATTTTTGTGCTGATGAAGAATATTTTCCAATGTATTAAATTTATCGCGTTGTTCGGTTCTGTCCACGCTTCTTTCACGTTGCCAGTGCTCAAGCAAGTGATCATCCACTTTGTGGATCTCTATAAAAGAACAGAACATTGAATCTTGTCGTCATGTTGATTTACAATGGACCGCTTCAAACATGCATCGATACAAGGTAGGTCTTTAGTGACAACCCTCTTATATGAATGTAAATAAGTATGCTTAATGTTTCTTGCCCTTTGGGACAAGTAAAATAAACAATCCAAATAGTAAAAGCAGTTACTGAAGAAACCAGGTTGGATGTGAAAATAATGAATGAACACAGATTTGGTAGCTGCTTCATAGGCCCATGGAAATATGCAAGGAATGTAAATACAAGCAAGACACTGAGACCCACAGACCACAGAGGTGGTAAGGCCTGCTAGTTTCAGGTGCTAGCGGTCAGGTGTATTCATTCCATCACTCTTTACTGAAAGACAACTAATACTAGATAAAGTTGGGAATGTGAAGAATGCAGAATGTTCTACTTGGGAGAAAACCATTTTTACAGGTATATATGAAATGTATTATGGTACACAAACATTGTTTCCTATGTTTATGGAACCTATATTCTAGCTTACACCATTCATCTTACAGTGCTGTCCTGTGATGGCTTGCATTTTGCTCTTATGCCGGAAGCAATGCCACCCAGATTTTTAAGTAGCAGCAGGATCAACCATGGTGCACAGGTCTTAGTGGAAATTCCACAAAGAGAGAAGTGAGGAGGACCTGGTAATCTACTTCTGGAACATGAGCCCCTCAGGTTTAATAACACTGAATAAGTACTAACTTCTCAAAGTGCAGGCAACAGTAATGATGTGGATGGAGTAAACTTTTGGGGACCTTCACTGAGTAACATGACATGACTGAAAGTGAGAAAAAAATACCTGCAAATACCCACTAATTATTGGAAGATGGAATGTATGATGTATTATCAAGAAAAATTGCAAGTTGCCAAAATGAAAAGTTTAAAGATTGATAGTGTATGTATTATTGAACCTTAATAGACTGGTATTAGCTATTTTTATTTAGATAAGTGGCTTGTAAGGCTGAAATTGATAAAATCAAGAAGACTGATGTCATATTCATCATCAAAAGGTACACTGCAAGACATTTTTTGAAGTACAACACTGTTAGTGGTAGGTTAATGTTCATATACCTTCAAGTAAGACCAGTTTTACTACACATGTTATTTAAATGTGTGTACCAAATGTTAAAGCAAACATAAAGTGTGGGATCCAGTCCCACAGTTGAATAGGTCCTTAGGAGTAGTGTGTCCAATTAAGGAAGATAAAGCAGACAGCAAATACAGAGTACAGGCGCCTCATCTGCAATGCCAATTAAGAGACTTAGGTCATTTAGCAGTGAGTTTACATAGAAGCCCCCAGCAGGCACATACTGTACACAAAAGAATGGGCAAAGCGTGAATCTAGGACATCCTGATCCATTTAGGAGAACACTTTATGATAAGTATCAGCCTGTGGGAAATTGAGGACCAAGAAGAGAGTATTTGCACACAAATACTCTATTGTCTAGATTAAAGAAGCCTGAAAGGTCAGGATTCTGGGTGGAGGGAGGCCATCACATGTCTGGGTTGGAGAAGAGTCTCAGTCACATTGTCCTAATTAAAAATCATGCCTATCAACCCCACAATATCCTCGCACTCATGAAAGGACACGGCCAATTACGATCAGCTGCCAGCTTTATCTATAAAAGCAGACATGTTGTTATTGTTCTCCCGGCTCAGGGGACAGTCACTCCCCTCTACCTGCCCTCAGCACTGGTGTTAAGTTACTCAACCAATGAACTCAGGGACCTCCAGGATGAAGATACTACCCACCTTGCTATGTAGGTAAGTGTCTGTGCTGAGAGTGGTGGTGGGGGAGGGAGGTGGCATTCTTTCTATCCTGCTCAGACCTGGTTCTGTCCTTCAATTACACAACCATCCCCTAGGACTCATCCAGAAGGCATAAAAGAGACAAAGGAATAGCTGCCTCCTTGAGTGATAGCAACAAAGGGAACCTGGTTGCTCTTAAAGCTAGGAATCTTTGAGCTGACTACCCAGATGGCAGGCACCTGTAGGAGGCAGCTGTATCCCAGCATCGGAATGGAGGGCAGTTGTGGAGAAAACTCTATCTGGAGACTGTGCATGATCAGCTTTATCTATATCCTCAGGACTGTGGACGTTTTCCTCTAGCATTAGCACTGGTCTTCCAAGCCCTGTGGGCAGGAGTACAGAGATTAGGTTGCTTACACTTTCATCCAGGTTGTTTTCCACAGTAAAGAAATTAAAGGGGGTGGGGGGGGGAGCTGATATCAAAGAGTTCGAGAAGAAAGAAAATGTTTTGAAACTGATTGTGGTAGTAACTACAATACTCCTTGATGCGATTGAACTATGGAATGGAATGACTTAAAAATATATATTGAAAATTTGCCGTTTTCAGCCAGAAATTGATCGACCATGCAATCATACAATAATGAATGCAAAATTTGGAAACAGTATCAGTAGTTGGGAAATGGGGCCTTAGTGATAGAAATGACACATGAGATTAACAAAAAAATTTTGAGAGACTAATGAATTCATAACAAATTCCTTATTAAACAACAGAAATGGAAACTATACATATAAACCTTTCTTAATGGAATACATGAAAATAAAATCAACCACATCTGTGGAAAGAAATGATGGAGAAGCTCATCAGTCAAAATAAGGCCAAAATGAGGTCATCAATTCCTCAAATCCAAGTTGAAGATGAAGAAAAGTTCAAGGAAGTCCACAATAGCCTAAGTAACCTGATTCACTTGAACTTAGAAACTATCTAACAAATAAAGTTGAGGAATAAAGGACTGATGACTAAAACCTAGTAACTGAGGACCAAATGAGTTGTAGGATGACACAGAGGACATCACGCATATGGAAACCAAAAGGCTACTCAAAACACAGAAAAGGAGAGAGCAGTACGGACTATATCGGCCATTGTTTAACAACCAAAAAATCAGCGTTGGAAAATACAGCTAACACGTTCTTTAGAAGCAGCAAAGGTAAGTGGGTGAAGGAAAACAGTGGTCTATGTAAAACATTAAAAATAATAATAATTTTAAAATTATCAAGGGTTCATGAGTGAGGGCGTGTGAGGGAGGGAGAGAAAATGGAGGAGCTAACATCCAGGGCTCAAGTAGAAGGGAAATGTACTTTAAATGATGATGGTAATATATGTACACATGTGCTTGACACAAATGATGAGTGTATGGATTGTGATAAGAGCTGTAAGAGCCCCCAATAAAATGATTTTTAAAAATGCCATTCCCACTTACAAAATTATTGGAGAAGCAGACAAGTTTAAAGAAAATCCTACAGGTGGAAAAAAAACTGAAGGTACGGTGCTAAAGAAGATTCTAAGCTGATAACAATTTTCTTGCTGGGAAGATGATCTTAGATAGCCGAAAATGACAGAAGTCATAAACATGTTTAACCAAAAGGAGTAAAATATATAGAATAATGTCTGTTAAGCAATTGCAACAGAGCAGGCAATTTGACCATCTCTATTAGAAAACAGACAGAACTTATATCACTCGAATGAAGAAAACTTTCCAGGGTTAGGAGAACAAACGAGAAAATGGAAACCAAAACTTTAGAGAAAGTCCAAGGGGGACTAAGGAAGCACAATGGAGACACGTTGCAGTGGGAGCTCAAGACCCAAGGGGGGGATGCACACGACAAAGGACATCCACTCTAACTCAATAGGGGGTGTGTGCTGCGTTCAGAGGGCACTTACAAATTCACAGTTCTGTGCTTGGAGAGAGGCTTGCAAGATGCGCTTTCATAGAAGGTAGGTCATACAAGAGGGAAAGGTTTGAGAATCTTCAAAAAAGAAAATTATGGAAACAAATGTACATAGTGCAAGTCAAATAAATAGAAATCTAAACTCAGAAGGGCTGGACTATTTTTCTAAACTTCTAGGAAAAGCGAGGGTTCACACTGGAATAGGCACACACTTTTAGGTATTATCCGATACCTTTCATGGATGTGAGGCCTTCTCCCAGTTGAATCAACTCCCCCAGCCAATCCCCCTGAAGGTGTTTTGCTCACACACCTGAAAAAATTCCACTATGGCTCTTTTCCTAGGACAGACCACAGTTGTTCTCTTTGTTCCAGTTGAGAGAAAGCTTCTGGGGTGCCAACTAGATAACCAGTTCATGAGAAATTACAAAATCTTAGCCACCCCAAATTAACCTTAGGTTTGTGAAGCCTGCAGAATGTTGTGTTTCTGCAGAAAGAATGTTCAAAGCAACAAAGTAAAGGGTATTCTTTCAAGGGTAGAAGACTGGACACGGTAACCTAGGACCAGAGAATGCAATGCAAATCTACCTATGAGAACACCACAGACACTGCAAAGATTGACACATAAAATAGGAATTCTCCTCACCGATGGAAACCAGGTTGCGATAGTTCTCCCACATCACATCCTGATAGAGCATCTTCTGAGCCGGGTTCAGGAGCTGCCATTCCTCCCCGGTGAACCTGACAGCCACATCGTTGAATGTCAGTGATTCCTGCAGTAACAGGAGTCTATTTAATGATGTATTTTCCATTTAAAGATTTTTACAAAATACCTTGCAGTAAAGAAAGCAAAAGAGTAATAAAAACTATTTTGTGATAGTGCATTCCACAATGTATGGTAAACTGAGGACCTGGTAGAAAGTACTTGACCTTATTTCTACACTGACAACCACGGGCACAGAAAATTAGCCGTTTTGAGAAAGATCTCCATTGTTCCGAGATAGAAATGTTTTCAAGTACATGTTCTCCAGGCCATGTAATGTGGCCCCTGTAATAGCCCTCCATTAAGGAGCGGCCTTAAAGTAGCACCAATAGTAGACGAATCAAGTTCTGTGTCTGGATACTTCACTATGCCTGAAGGTTCTCTATATATTAGAGCAATTATATTCTACAGTAAGCCCACCATAAATGTAGCAAACCCTTGGGGAGGGCTTGGATTGGGGGGTGGAGGTGGTGGGGGTTGAAGTCAACTAACACTAGGTCAAGATGGTGATTCAGCTCATTGGTTTTTTTATTATGGTTCCGGCTTAACGATATTACCCATTGACTATGTGTATGTTAACGGTATGACGTGCCTTAAGATCTGTAAGCCCCATTATATATGCCCAGTAGAAAATACATTCACTCTCTCAGTCCCGACATGGGACTAGGAGCCTCTGAGCCCCTGTCTGTCTCTGTCTTTAATATTTTCTACAATCATGAAGTCATTCCTGAGGACCCATTCAAGTGTTGGGGATACCCATGCCCCAACAATAATGTACCCACTCATAAAATTAGAATTTTGAGTAGCAGCAGAAATAGCTCAGATTTATACTCACACACAGTAGATAAACACATATCTGTTTATATTAACAAACAAGTTAACAGAACATTGTGAAATGGAATTAGGAGTCCTAGCAGTATCACCATTATGAGATGCTCTGTACCTTCAGTGGTGATAGGTATTAGGCTCAGTTCGGAGCTGATTTCTATGAAGGGGAGTCAAACACACCTCAGCTCTCCAACATTTTTTGTCAATTCTTACATTCCTCCCACACCACTCTTTGTCTCTCTTCTTGGTTGATAATCAGTTGCTATGGCCACAAAAACTCAATAGATCAAAGTGGTCTATTAAAGAACACGGTACAACTCAGGATCAGGAACAAGATGCTGTATCTCAGGACCAAGAACAGAAAACTCATAGGCAAAATCTCCCTCTCGAAGTGCAGAACAACTTCTAAGCCCTTAGAGGCCAACTTAGGACAAGCACCTCGTCTACCTTAGGACAAATTGTTCTCAGCCACCTTTGGACAGTACTGCCTTAACTTTAATTACAAGGTCTTCTTGGACCTGCTATCTTTCATTCTATGCTCTCCAATGGGCCCCTCCTAGCTGTGGCCATTGGCGCGACCTCTGAAGCCCTCCTAATCTTGCCTAGGCAGGGAAGGTGCTAGGTTGGCCCAAGAAGCCATCATATCAAGAGCAAAGGAGAGGGAAAAGAGAGAGAACTGCCTGCAGGCATGGTTGATAAGAGACAGTCAGACACTGGCCTGTCATCTGACCTGTTGATTTGCTTTTGTTAGCCCCTGCAGCCACATAGTTCACATTGAACCCATGGATGGGGGATTTGCCCACTTCCAGAGAAACAGGAGCCATTTCTTTGGCATCCCTGCAACTGGGAGCCTCCTGGGTGATCTGATTTGAGAGCTTCCAACACTGTGACCCAACAGCCTGCTGTGTGACCTTCCAATTTTGGGTTCCTGAGCCCTGTAACCTATTATCTGAGCAGATGCAACAACTTCACCTTGTGAGGCAGTGGACTGTTGTCTGACCTGATGATGTGGTTCATCAGCCTTGGCAAACACGTTAATGAGGGGAACCCTCCAGACTGATACCTGAACTATGGATTTGGGACTCACCAGTTTGCACATCTTGAAGACTTATTTACCTGATGGCTACTTAGTCTTCTGAGATACTGCAGAGCAAATCATGGCGCATGTCGAACCTCTACCTCATAGGGACTGGTGTACTACTGCTGCTCCTGCACGATGAACTGGAATATTCATGGGTCAAGAGCTTTACCAATGGAGATATTGACCAGGGAAAAAGGGACAGTGACAGAGCCAATGGTGACAGGTCCAGAAAGGGCTTTTCAGCAAACAGTGGGCCAGGCAGGCAAGGTCAGGAGGAAGATATCCCCAAGGGGCTAAGAGAAGCCTATACAGATGGATCTAAGACATGAGCCTATCTTCAGGGGGCAAAATGTCTGAAAGGGACAGAGAGAACAGGCTTGTCCTGAAGAAATCTGCTGACATGTTTCCTCAATATGAATCCCAATATGTAGCCTATTGACTTTGATACCAAATTACATTCTGTTACTGAATAAAACCTGTATGTGACTCTGGACTGTAATCTGTATGTGGCCACTGCAAAAAGTTAATGAACTGAGGAGAGGACTGTGGGAGAGATAACTGGTATCAGAACTGGAAAAACAATGGAGGGTACAGGCATGTTTAAGCTCTGCTCATATGAATCAGAGCTGGTGATGATGGCTGATTCTTTCTCCTACATCTATAGTTAGAGGACGTCAGAAGCTGTCAACCATTTTTAAACTACTATTGCTACAAGGCCCACTTCAGATGCATTAATGAGAATGCTGCAGTTTGTGAGATTATATAACATATCACCTTCAGAAAGAACCACTATAGAAACTTACTCAGACAAAAATCCCATGGAATACTGAATTCTCCCAACAACTTGATCTTATTTCTCTTTAAAAACTAGGTATAGCGTTTAATTTGAGTGATACTCATGGGTTGGCCATAGAGTAATGAATTATGAGTTGAAAGCTAATGGTACCCAAAGAATCCTCAGTGACGTATTATGTCAATGTCAATAGTTTAACGTTAATCCTATGATCAGTATATTCCTAATCTTCTCCAGCCAATGTTGAAGTCAGAGTCAAAGTTTATCTCTAACTCTACTATTTTTAATTTCCACTTTTCCAAGAAACTGCATCAGTGTTACACAGGTTTCTACACTTCCAGTAGGAAATACAAAGAAGGAGGAAACGCATCAGAATCACCTGAGCCTTGGTCATTTTCTTTGGTCCTCAGGACACTGCTGGCAAATGTGAAGCTTTATTTTTGTCTTATCTGGATCAGCTCAAATGATATTCACAAATTTTAATCTCTCATGAGGACATCCAAGAAATAATAATACCCAATCCAGGTACTTCTTTGTCCTTCCTCTAAGCTGCTGGTGATTCAAAACCTGCAGGCTGATGGGAGAATACAATGTGAGTAATACATAACCTCTAGGTCCAGATGCTGTTACTGTTGTACCCTCTTCTTAACACACAAAGTCCCCAATACTGTTAACAGTCACTTTACTGAGTGATGGAAAACATGCTTATACCATGAGCAATAAAATTTAAAACTCATAATTTTCAGACATCTGAGTAAAAGATGACTTTGTAATAAGTAGGGATTGAACAATCAAATATACATGTCAAAAAGAAGAAACAAAAAAAGCCAGATCCCTGCCTTACAGAATACAAAACTATTAATTCCGTACTGCGTGACTCTCAAGGAGAATGACAATTTAATGAACCTTTAAGAAGACTATGTGAAAGCGTCTGGAAACATTTTAAATGGGCTTCATGTAGAGCTATTATAAACTGAAGGGTATTTGGCCAGAGGAGCTGTAAATTGTGCAATCACTTTAGATACACCTTAAAGCTCACCACCAAGTAGAGACAGACATGTAAGCACCCGATAGGACACAGGAGAACTGCTCTACAGAGTTTCTGAGACTAGAAAGCCATGACAGGCAGCTAATGAACGGGTTTGTACCTCTGACCTTAAGATTTGCAGTCCAACTCTTAACACCTGTCAAAACCAGGGCTCCATATAAACACTTACATATCATCTATTAGTTTGAAACTTACATATATATATTGGAATGAAGGAAGAAGGATACATCCCCTCATAGTGAGTGCACTTTTGACCCAAAGACAAGGAAGAAGGATACATCCCCTCATAGTGAGTGCACTTTTGACCCAAAGACAAATAACGTTTTTAATGTTAACGTGACTTGTAGTAACCCAATGCGGTCAGATAGTTTGCCTATACAAGTATGCAGTCTTCCAGCTATGGCCCTTAACTCCTTCCAAACATTTAGGTGGGTTTGTTATTCGCCAATGTGACTGAGGCAAAGGAGCCCTGGTGGCATAGCGGTTACTGTTGGGCTGCTAACTGCAAGGTCAGCAGTTGGAAACCACCAATTTCTCCTGGAAAGAAAGATGGGGGTTCCTTCTCCCAACAGTGACATTGATTTCTACTCTGCTAAAGGGCTTCAGTCTTGGAAACCAACAGGGGCAGTTCTACCCTGTCATATAGGCTCACTATGAGTCAGTGTTAACTTGATGGCAGTGTTTTTGTTTGTTTGTTTGCTTGCTTGTTTGTTTGGTTTAAGAGGACTGGGACCTTGCCCAACAATAGATTGGTACTCCTGTGGCTTGGGGCTATGCAAATAAGTTGTCTGAAAACCTAACCTGAGGATTAGTCACATTGGACATCATGTTAGGTTTAACTGAGCCCTTTCAAAGACAGGAATTGGGATCTCACTGCCATCAAAAAAGAAGAGCCGGGAGTAGGGGCCTTTGGATCCTAGATTCATGCATTGAAACTCTTCAATCCAGAAGACAGGGAGCTGGGACCCAAGAGAGGAAGTGATGGGGAGAAGCAGCAACAGAGACCTGGTGGCAGCAGAACCAAGAGACTGAGACGGAGCAGTGGGCTTCCCAGGCCGCAGCACAGGAGAGCTGAGTACCTTTGGGCAGGAGGTTAGTAGGTGAAGTGGTGAACATCTGAGTACTTATCTGGCAAACCAGATTTGCCAACCTACACAGAGATAAAAGAACTTTGTAACATTGGATCATTCAGGACAGAAGCCAGGGGGCTGCAGGGCCTGGCCTTACCTGCAGGTACGGCTGTCAAGATGCTGTCCCAAAGAAGGACTGTACCTTGAGTCATTTATGAGCCTAAATTGGGTGTTAGGGTACGAAAGTGACCCCTATGCCAAATGTTATTCAAGGAGAACATTTTGTAAACTTTAAGAGACAACAAAAGACACGAATATACATATTATATGGATAAGAAAGGCCATTAGCACAAAGTCAAAATAACAACTGAGGATTCACAGTCAAAATTCAGGATAAATAGGGCATAGAATAAAAGGCATGTCACAGATCATGATTGGTGACAGATCAATACATCACAGATACAGGTGGGACTGCAGCAGCAGAAATGGGGCCATGATTAGGACATCCACATTATTAGATATAAGGGCTTATAAGATTGGTCCAGGGTCCTTGATGCCTGATGCCTGATCCTATGGACACCTCATGAACACACAGCCTCGTGTGCTTCTTCCATGTGGGCTTTGTTGCTTCTCAGCTAGATGGCCGCTTGTTTGTCTTCAAGCCTTTAAGACCCCAGAAGCTATATCTTTTGAT